CTCAGCCCAGCCCAGCCCAGCCCAGCCCAGCCCAGCCCAGCCCAGCCCAGTCAACAGACCACCGCGACGGGCGATGTTGCCTTTTGCCGACAGGGAGTTGCAGGTCAGTCGGCGCGACCGCATGAGCTCACGGTCGGCGCAGCCCAGCGGCGACACCGGCCCGGCCGAGGAGCACGTCGCGGCCCGACCGGCCTGGCTCCAGCGCTATCGGCGGCTGGTCGGCTCGCCGAAGTTCTGGATCAGCTTTTCTGCGGCCACTTGGGGCTTCTTGACCAGCGTCGAGCGCTCTGTGATCCTTTCCACGCTCTTTCTTTACTTCAAGACCTACTGGAACGCCGAGGCGGCGCAGAACTTCTACGGCGCCACCATGAGTGCCTTCAGCCTGGCCATTCTCATCATGACGCCGGTGTTCGGCCTCCTGGCACACGCCGGCCTGCGAGTCAAGGTGATCCTGCTCCTCTCCGATCAACTCGAGATTGTCGGCAACCTGCTCTACCTGATCGGCACCTCGCCCTGGCTAGTGCTTTTGGGTCGCTTCATCTCCGGCGCTGGCGCCAGTTGCGAGCCGCCGTTGTACGCGGACATCGCGAGAGTGACCAGTCTGGAGGAGCGTACGCCCATAATTGTCACAATTCTCGTCTCTCGCCAGTGCGGCCTGATGTTTGGTCCGGCATTCACGTTGATATTGCACAACATGAACGTCACCATTGCCGGATTCAGCCTCAGCGTCTACAATGGGCCCGGTCTCCTCATGGCCGGACTCTGGATACTGCACACCTTGGTAGTTCTGCTCACCTACCCGAACATTGACGATGTGGGCCGAGTGATAGACTCGAGCCTGAACAAACTCACCTCAAGAGACTTGCAGAACTGCTGCTCCTGCTATCAGACCTGCCCCCAGGCCGCCGGCAGCTCCTCCTACAATGAGACTGGCTCTCTGCAGTTGTCCGACTGTGCAGAAGACACTCACCTCATTCCTCCCAGCGACGAGACGACCGGAGGGCAGAGCAACTATTGTCGCTGTGGCCTGGCCTCGTTGCGGCCATACTCGGCCTACAACCTGGTCACGATGTACGCTGTCAGCTTTGCCGTCTACTTCTGTTTTATGAGTCTGGAGGCGGTGTTGCCGCCTGTGGCGAACCGCTACTTTGACTGGAATGAGGTCGAGGTTAGCTACGTGTACCTAGGAGCCGGTGGCCTTGTCCTCGTCTTCTGTGCCGTCCTGCATTTTCTCACCCAATGCTGCTCTGACCGTAGCCTTGTCCTCGCCGGCTGTGCCACCCTCGTCGTCTCCTACATATGGCTGGCCGTCTGCTGCGCAACACTCACCACAGCGCCATTGAGCACAGCGATTCCACTTACTATGATCGGCATTGCCATCCACGTGGCTGGTATGCCCTTGGCGACGGCCTGCTCAGAATCACTCTACAGCAAGTTGGTCAAAGTGGTCGACATGAACCGTGCCCAAGCGATCCTGCGTACTGTCATCAATGTTGCCTTTCTGTTGGGCCCATTTTTCGGCGGAACCCTGCACTACATTGCACTGTGGGTCTTTACTGTGATGGCAATCATGATGTCGATTCCAGTCTTATTGTTGGCTCTTCGTTTTAACGACTTTCTGGTGGTGCCCGTCAGTCCCACCAGCTCGGCTAGCTCATTTCCAAGAGATCCGGAGCATTCGGACGCAGAAATTGGATCGGAGAATCCACCATAAGGATTAAAGTCAATCAAACAGACGACTTGCGTGAGCTTATCTGTCAGTGTGTGAATGACTCACCGACTTGAGATAATTTTATACCTATCCCACTCGTCTTTCATCCCTCTGATATGCTTGGTTAAAGTGAAGGCCTACTTTATGGAAGTTGGCAACTTTTCCTCCAGTCAATTACTTGAGGTTTATGCCTGCTTAGGCCGCTTTGGTAAGACTCATCTGTGAGTGTAAGCATTTCTTAACTTTATAAAATCCGTACGATATTTTATTGTTTGTACACAAATGCCGTATGACCATTTATCAGAATTTTACAGTCATTCCTTGGGATCACTCCTATCCTTTAAAAAAACATTCTATTTGCTATCATCTTTCCTTCAATTTCGATCTAAGATTGTAAATTGACCTATTTTTTGATGTTATCAATGCATATTTTTAGCCCCTTCTTTAAAAGTAATCTCGAGTTTTTATTTTAAAAGTCATCTGAGGCAGCGCGTCAGGCTAACTCTAAAGCTAATATCAATAGATGTCTTTTTTTAGATTATAGGCTTAAAAATGCATACTTTGTGGCTCAAGTGTTTTTAGTATGAGTGGGCAAACGATTACTCGGTTGACTAATATAAGCCCACGTTTGATATAATTTACCTTTAATGTGGTGATATAGGTCTTTTGAAGAGAAATTTATTT